TGATGGCCGAGGGGAGAAAAGCGCGGCGCGACGCAGCGCTTCTCCCTCCTCCTCCGTCCTTCTCCCTCCTCCTTCTCCTCCTCCTCCTCCTCCTCCTCCTCCTCCTCCTCCCCTTCCTCCTCCCCCTCCTCTTCCTTCTCCTCCTCCTCTTCCTCCTCCCCATCCTTCTCATTCCGTCTCATTCCTTCCCCCCCTGCGGAGATGACCACCTGTGAGATGATGCCTGCTAAAATTGTGTACCCTGATATATCAGTGGCTTGCACTGGTACGTCTTCGGACGCTGTGAGGATGCTCGACTACCTCCTTGTTTCTGCCTGGCTGCCCAATGCGATCAGGAGAATTAGAATTTGTCTTGAGGCGGCGACGAAGCCGCACAAGCCAGTCAGATTTCAGTTCTTTCCGTCCATCGTTCGGCTTGAGATGTTGGGTTCTCTAAGCCGCCTTCTCTCCCTGTCGAGTGTGCGATTGGACCTGCTCCCAAGCCTCCGCGTTGCGATTAGGAGCTGGAATGGGCTCAGTATTGTTTGGGTCTGGTGCGCACCAAGGTGTCCAGGGGTACCATTCAGAAACGGTCATTTTATTTTCTCTACCGGTTGTGAGCCAACGAGGCTGAGCGCGAGATTCAGCATGATCGGCAGGTTCAGCTCCTCGTCTTGGGCACTCGAGGTAGACTCCCGAAGCTGGCCTGGAGGTCTCTTAGACAAGGACGAGCGCGTTGCCCGGCAACCAGGCCTGCACTCTGTCCGGTGCTTGGGGAGCACCTTTCGTTTTTTTCCGGAAAGGGCGTGGGCCCAGGGTCCTGTTTTTTAGTAAGAATATCCCTGCGTTTTACTTGAGGTGGGTCGTCGAAATTCTTGCGACGAGTAGCGCTGTGAAGCCCCATTTTTGTTTCTTTCAAAGTGCGTTTTGCGCGTGCCCGTTGGAGGAAAATGTGCCTCCCATCTCGGATCCTCGACAAGTAGCCAGGTCTCCCTTCGTCAAAAAAGATGCATTTGTTGCGAATGTTTGGTTGCCTTTCTATATATATATATATATATTATTAATATTATTTCCATATTGTTATTATTAGTATTATTCTGTTTCTTATTATTATTCTTCTTCTTCTTATGATTATTAGTATAGTTATATTATTATCATTATTAGTACTAATTTTCATGATATTTTTATTATTGTATTATTGTATTATTGTATTATTGTATTATTCTTCTTCTTATTATTATTTTTATCATTATTCTTTTTGTTATTCTATGTTTTTTCGGGAACAAATAAAAAATACCCAATGTTGTTTTTTTGGGGGCCCGCTCGAACATGGCGCGTCCTGCAAGGAATTTCGAGGTTACCTCGTGAACGCTTGTTTTTCAGCACCTCGCTGCTGACGCGCAGCGAGGAAACGTGCCGACGCCGAGGTCTGTGATCGTGGGCCACCGCCCCCGGCCTATGGGGCTACCGCAACGACGCTCCACCGTCAAGGGCGGACACGCCCAACAGCAGGCATCGCTCGTATCCACAGTGCGCCGGCCCCCGCCGCTCGCCAACAACCAGGGTCTGACTCGGCTCTGAAGCGCGCGCGCGCGCGTGAGGAATGAGCGCGCCCCAAGGAGGCCCAAGAGGCGCCCGAGAGAGCCCCAAGACGGCCCAAGAGGGACCCAAGACGGCCCAAGAGAGCCCCAAGACGGCCCCAGAGGGGCCCCAGACGGCCCAAGAGAGCTCCAAGAGGCCTCTAAGAGGTCCTCAACAAGGCTCCAAGAAGCCTTCAGGAGAGCCCAAGAGAGCCCCAAGGGGGGCCCCATTCGGCCCACCTCCCCTAAGACGGCCCAAGTGAGGCTCATGAGCGGCTCAGCCAGGCTCCCAATAACGAGCAATGCCGCAACAAGCTCCCAGTACGAACGGTGGTGTGAATAATTTCGGTTTCTGTTTCTGAAACGCTCTTTCCGTTTTCGTGCCAGCCCAGGTCTAGTTGCTTTCGGCCGGTATTTCTAGTGCAATTTGGGGCCCTCTGTACCAAGTTTCGCCTGCTCGACGGCGGAAAAGGCTGTAGGGAATATGTGATTTTTACGACGATGTCCCAGGCGAAGCCTTTGTTTTTGAAACATCCTGAAGGTACTTTGTAGTCAGGTGGCCGGACTTTCTGTGGGCTTGGGAATACCCATTCACAAAATTGAATCAAGCACCCACCACCAGAGGAATCAATCAGTAAGCCCTCCGCATCGGGATTCAAACGGACATCCCCCACAAAAGGATGAAAACAGTACGTTTCAACATGCTGAGTCAAGCAGTGAATTTCAACAACAAGTCGCCCACACATGAATTTCAGCAGTGAATCGTCTACGTGATGATTCAACCACATGTGTCGCTTTCGTTTGTGCAATTTTCAAACGCCCGTGTGAACACTCGAACGGTGGACATCGAACAACTATTAAGAACCCGCCCATCACCTCATACAGACACCCATGATGTTGCTGATGTTGTTGATGATGATGGTGTGGATGATGGTGATGATGATGCTGACGACGGTGTTGATGTTGCTGAGGATGACACGGTTGCTGCTGCTGCTGATGATGATGATGATGATGATGATGATGAGGATGATGATGATGATGATGATGATGATGATGATGATGATGATGATGATGCTAATTGTGATGATGATCATGATGATAATGGTGCTGAGGAGGGGATGCTACTGCTGATGGTGATGATGATGCTATTGATGATGATGGTTATGGTGGTGATGATGGTGATGATGCTGATGATTATGATGATGAGGAGGAGGACGAGGAGGAGGAGGAACATGAGGAGGAAGAGGCGGAAGAGGCGGAGGAGGAGGAGGCGGAGGCGGCGGCGGTGGCGGCGGCGGCGGCGGGGAAGAGGAAGGAGGAGGAGGAGGAGGAGGAGGAGGAGGAGGAGGAGGAGGAGGAGGAGGAGGAGGAGGAGGAGGAGAGGGAGGAGGAGGAGGAGGAGGAGGAGGAGGAGGAGGAGGAGGAGGAGGAGGAGGAGGGGAGGAGGAGGAGGAGGAGGAGGAGGAGGAGGAGGAGGGAGGAGGAGAGGAGGAGGAGGAGGAGGAGGAGGGGAGGAGGACCCCGTTTCCTGTTCAGTCCCCTCGAGCGGCCGCGCGCGCGGAGGCCGAGCCGCGGCCGTCGGACGGGCCGACCTGGCACCTGGTGCAGGGGTGCCGGGCCGCGGGGGCGGGTCCACCTCCTTCTCCTCCTTTTCTTTCTCTTCCTCCTCCTCCTGCTCCTCTTACTCTTCCCTCTTCCCTCTCCGCTTTCCTTCTCCCTCTTCGCCGGCAGGCCATTGGGACAACCCCGTGAGCCGCCGGGGTGCGGGAGCAAGCCGGTGGGACAACCCCGCAGTTCTCGAGTTAGTCGCGGCCGCGTTCATGCGGGAGGCAGCGCGGAACCCTGCTCTGCCACGAGCTGTTTCGCTTCAGCCCTGGAGCTCTCCGCTCTCTTGTCGAATTCCCTGAGCGTCTTCCGCGGGAACCGGCGGCCCGCGCTCCAGGAACTCTTCGGGTGGGCGGCCGCAGGAGCAGCATGTTCCACATGCGCGTGGCGCGGGGGAACATGGCACAGCCACCGTTGCTCGTCTGACATGCCCGTGTGACCAGCGCCCCCGCCACTGGCGCAGTCGATGGTGGCGACCTTGCGCAGCGTTTGGACTTGCGACAGCGTGGAATTCAGGTAGAACGGTGCGCGACGTGCGGCCACGAGCTCTGCCACGTGAGCTCGTGTTCGGTGGGCCTGAGCATGAGGAACCCTTTGGCCCGCGCCTCGGCTTCGCCGTCGTCGTCAGCGCCTGCGGTTCTCTGTAGCAAATCACTGGCCACTTCAGTGCTTGTTTTTCTTAACCCGTCGGCCTTCGTCTTTCGCCACGTGGACCTTTTGGATACACAGGCGTTCAGGTGTGCCCGTCAAATCCCAATGGGGGAAGCTCCCGCTCGAAATTTCGTCGCGATTCTTTCGCAAACGAGCTGTTCGAGACTTCCTCGCCAGTCGCTCGAAAACGAGGCTCCGTTCGGGACATCCTTCGTATCCAGACTTCAGAAGCTCCACGGTGACGACTTCGAAAAGATCCCGACGACCCGCTCGGGTTAGTAGCACGAACTGCGGGCCCCACAGGGATCGGGGTTCCCACTTGGGACTTCCTCGAAATTCACAGACAACGCTCCCGCCGGAGAGTTTATCCGTACGCAAAGTGAAGAGGCCATATGTGGCGACCCCTATAGGATCGCGATGATCAGCGCGAGTGAATAACGTGAATTGCCGGTGCAGTGAAGGGGGGCTCCCGCCCTCACGTGTCGCTCACAGGCGAGGCTTCCGCCTAACACTTCCCCAAACTCAATCTTGAAAAAGGCCAAACGTGACGACAGGTACAAGATTCCGATGCCCTGGTCGCGTTACTAACATGAGCTACGGGCCCCATAGGGAGGGGGCTCCCGCTTGAGATTTTTCCCAAGATTCACTCACAGACGAGGCTCCCGCCTGAAACTTCATCCGCATTCCAGGTTGAAAGGACAAGAGTGACGACAGCTTCAGGCTCCGGCTTGCCCGTTCAGGTTTGTTTAGTAATGTGAGGTGTGGGCCCCATAAGGATCGCTCCCCGCGCTTGAAGTTGCTTGGCAATCCACCCACAGGCGAGGCTCCCGCCCGATATTTTATTTGACCAGCTTGTAGAATCCAAGCGCGACGACAGATACAGGATCCCGATGGCCCGTTCGGATTAGGAGCGTGAGCTGCGGGCAACATAGGGAGGGAACTCCCGCTCGAGACTCCTACGCATGTCGCTCACACACGGGTCTCCCGTTCAAGATTTTCTCCACACTCGACCTTGCAGGGGCCAGAAGTCGTGACAGTTACAGGATCCCAATGACCCGCTCCGATTAGTATCATGAGTGGCGGGCCCCATCGGGGGGGGGGTCCCGCCTGAGATTTCTTCGCAAGTCATTCGCAGACGAGGCTCCCTCTCGAGACTTGCGCTACATTATCGTCTCAGGGACCCCA